AAGTCGATTACAACATCCACCAAGTAAAAAAAAAATGGAAAAACAAAAGGAATATTTAACGTTGGAGGTCATGTAGATAGGGATGAGCATTGTAGATCCCTTGATATGATCATGATATGTGAATGTGAATATGAATATGAATGCATGTTTATTACGGTCGCACCTCTATGTGGGGTTGCCTACGTATCCGTTAGGAATCAGGCTAAACGTAGCTCTAGCCGAACCTCGCGCAAGTGTGTGTATACCTCAAAAAGGTCTTTTTAAGGGTTGTAACGTGGTTAGGCTAAAGGTTATAGAAGAAGGGGATAAAGGCTCAAGACCCTCGATAAGCCCCCAAGGTGAGCAACCTTGCTTTTAAATCTTTGTATTTTTATGCTTGAGGCTTCTCACTCTTTTTTAGCTCTTTTTTTTTGCTTTAGCATTCATTTTATTTTTTTAAGTGTGGGCAATCCTGATCATGCGGTATATCACTCACTTGGCATTAATGTTTCTCAGGCACGGTACCGAGCACTCGATAAGAGACGCAATCTGAGATGTGTTCATATCAAAAACATGTTCATGTCAAAGACATTGGAACACTTGCCCTTTTGTACACTTTTATTATTATTATTATTATTATTATTATTATTATTATTATTATTATTTGCTATTTTAATCTTTTGAAGTCACTCAAGCTTTTTTTGAAAATTATCCCAAATTTAGGTAGATATAGGTTGAAAAATGAAAGGTCTATCGTTAGACGAGGCTCAAAGTGGTTTATGAATAAAGGATTGTAAATTAGAAAGGTGAAAGGTGATATAATGTGGCTATAAGGGGTGCCTCAAATCATTGGTATACCTTGTGCTTAGTTTGACATGGATTTTTTTTTTAATGTAATGTAATGATCATATGTAATGAAATAAATGCTCATTTTATTTAAAAAGTGAGGGGTAAAAATCAAACTCTAAGAAATAAATTCAAGGAGGATGAAGGGTGTCTGTGCTAGCCTTATTGGGGAAAGGGTTTGAAAAAAAAAAGAAGAAAGCATGAAATCTTGGTGATAAGCTTGCCTTGTGCATTTGTTTCATCATTACCCTCATTTTTGTTTGTCAATCACATGACTCAAACTCGATTCAACATGCATGGATGGAAGAAGGTAGGAAGAATGAAGGTTGTGATATGGAGAAAGCATGTAGAGAATGGAAAGATGATGTAGATGGAGAGATATGAAAAAATTAGGAATAGAATGTACCCCCAACTCAAATGACGGAAAAAACCGACTCATGCATGAACCTAGGACATGGTCATGGTGACATATACTCAAAGTGTGTGCTAAGACTAGTGATTGTAGGTGACATGTTAATACTCGTGTCATGACCATGTGGCTAGACTATGTGACTAGACTCGAACAAAAACTAAGTTAAGACCTCATGCATGTATATGCATTAAACTGGACAGGCTGTGGTATTTTAGTCATAACTTTTGATCTGTGACTCTGATTTGTATGAAACCAACTCCAAATTAAAGATAAACCTCGGGGCTACAGATCCATAGGTTGTACGACTCGTAGTTCTTCCTATAACTCCGGATATTACCAAAACAAGTTGACGTTTGTGCAGTATACGGGAATAAAAATCCGGGTTGACTTAAAGGAACTATGACTCGATTTTAGGTTTATTTTTTTTATCTCAAATCTATATCTATACTCAGTATTTAAAAACACAAACCATCATCCCCATCATGCCACATGTAATTAAAATTTATTTTTCACTAATGCCACATGTCATCTCCCTTCATTAATTAATCCCCTTTTTTATTATTTTAAAAAAGAACTAGCTTTAATTCAATACATGTATGAATGTTCCCTTAAAAAAAATACATATATGAATGTTATTTGATTCATTTTCCCCAACTTAATATCTCTACAATTACATTCAATTATCACCCCTTATTCTCCTTTATAAACCATTCATTTTCCAATTAAAACATATTATAAAACAAAAGTTACTATTGTACCCCTTATAAACATCCCGTGCATTGCACGGGTCAGAAGGCTAGTTAATTAATAAATTAATCAAATAAAGTCCTTTAGTCATTAATTAGTTTATTTAGGCTTAATCACAAGTCAAACAAACGTTCAGGAAAAACACAAAGTATGCATAAGCAAAGAATGCACAAGTAGTCACAATATGAAGCAATGAGTTTGCAACCTAACCATGGCTCTAGTTCTCTAAAGTTCGGGATATGGGTTAGTTAAAGAGGGTCCATGGTTAATTGTCCGGATGCACCGCGCGGAAGCCTAACCGTGAAGGGTTGGCACGAGTGGATGGGACACCGCGAGTTGAAAACTCGCTTCCATGGTTTGGTGAATTCAACATTCTCGGATGTACCCTTTGTTGCACAGAACATTAAATCAGGTAGATGGAGCATGAATTCTCAGAGGGTTATGTCCATATGTAGAACACGTATGGGTTTTAGAAAAGTGAGAAAAACACAATCAGGAAGTAGAAACGAGCAAACAGTGCTAAAAACTGGTCAAAATTAGAACGCATAATTCTGGCTCGGTATTGGAAGAACATGGCGCCAACGAACAAAGGCCGGTGCCGCGATTTGGCTTTGGCGCCTGGCGACAGGAGCTGTCGCCTGGCGCCAGAGTCAAATCATCGTCGCTAGACTCTGTTTTCTAACGCTAATTCCTACATGCCTCAACAGCTTTCTGTGCTCGATAAAATTTTCCAGTTTCGCGCAGCATTATTTCGATGCTAGTTGTGAAAGATATTCCTCAAATTTCTTACGTATAAAAACCCTATGTTTTTAACTCATTACGGATGGTCTTTCCAATGAGATCTTTTTTATGCATATGACAATAATGTTCATCAAAATTACGCACATGAAATACCAAGAACTTTTCGAGTCTTATCCACTCATTCTAAATCATTGCCGAAATAAGTTTTAGGAATTAAAATAGAAAACCTCCCCAGTGGAGTCGAAAAAAATCAGTAGGGAATATTGTAGGGAAATATAGGTACTACGCAGCAGAAATAATCATGAATCATATTCATAAAGCACCTAACCAAGGATCTCATGCATAACACATAAAGAGTAAGAATAATACCTTTGAAGCGTGATTCCACTAGCAATCAAGCAAGAATAAGGGAGACAAAGAACCTCAAATGTGATTCCTCTACTTGGTCCACAAGCACAGATTAAGACCTCCACTAATGCTAGTTAGTCGCGATCGAACTCTTCAATCGACCTTCTACGGAGAAGTATGAGCAACAAACTAGTCACGAACCACCGCGAGCACCACCAAGGGTGGACGGGCGCAAGTCCAATGGGGGGGAGAGGGGTGCCGTGAGAGAGAGAGAGGGAGATGAGGGTTTTGGGATTTGGTTTCCTTGATTCACAATTCACTGTAAGTTAATTGTGACTCCTGTATTTTTGCAACCCTAGGCATGGATCTTATTTATAGATCATATCCATAAATAAGAGTCCATGACCAAGCCCAATTCCTAATCCCAATCAAACTACACTAGCCCAATCCTATTCATGATCAGTTAAATACTCATAAGGCCCAATAATGGGCCTCTTACTTGCTTAACCCAATACCTTTGTGTGTGACCTCATAGGATCCATTCTAACGGGCTTTGGACTATTTTACTAGCCTAAAGATCATCTCTCATATTCTAGCAACAGATGATGACGCCCTAAGAGAATGAACTTATTATCTCCATAATAGTGATCCTTGATATATCTAGTAATTGCACTTATCGAAGACACAACTCCTTCACTCACTTGTCTGAGACAAGTGCGCAATATTCAAATTCCTTAAGTCAATGTGTGTCGATTTGATAATATGATTGCATCTCATGTCGTGATCATATTAGTCCACAAATCTTTTCTTGAAAACTGAGTGAGAATTACAAAACAAATGGTTACTGTGTAATCCATTTGAGCACGGCCAAACATTTTCTGAATTCTCCCTCTTCAAGGGGCCAAGACACATTCCTAATTAAATAGGTAGACTCTATCCAATCTTGTGGTAACCAAAGCTCCCACTCAATTTCTGAAATAATCGGGAAACACCGTTTATAATCTCCAGTTACGGGCAGACGTTTGAGTGTACCACAGCCATAACATCCATTGAATGAAATCAATGTTCCACTCATGTCAAAGGAATCCACTAATATATCCGGAAGCTCTATACTTGAACTTCAAAGTAGGTCTATAGTTCGATCATGCATCATTCATGCATATCCATGTGATTGACCAAGCCTCATTATGCTCCTATAGCCCATGAAACTGCGCTATCCAATCAATCTTACATGCTAGTCCATTATTAGAAATCATTTATGTTCAATTTAATGATTCTGAACTAGGAACTTAAATAATATATGGATTTTGTTCACTTGTGGGGTTTCATTCACCAGGTCATCAACCTGATGAGCCCATCAATCCATAATTATTTTGGACATTTTATTTAATATTGAAAGCCATCATTAAATCAGAGAAATAATAAAATTTCTGATTAAACATAATTTTGCAAATGAGTGTATTACATATGTAACTTATTTTTCTCCAAAAATAAATACAACTTCTAATTACATCATTTGCTTCAATCCAGCTTCACTAGCATGTTTCTCATGCTTAGGTAGTGGAAGGGGTTTGGTAAGTGGATCAGCGATATTCTCATTCGTATGAACTTTGCACATCTTCACATCTCCTTTGTTAACGATTTCTCGAATGAGGTGATACTTCCTCTCAACATGTTTGGATTTGAAGTGTGACCTAGGCTCCTTTGATTGAGCAATGGTGCCATTGTTGTCACAATACAATTCAATTCCCTTTTGAGCACTTGGTACGATATCCAGCTCAGTTAGGAATTTCTTTATCCAAACTGCTTCTTTGGCTGCTTCAACTGCAGCCAAATATTTTGATTCTGTTGTAGAGTCTGCGACAGTGCTTTGCTTCGAGCTCTTCCAGCTCACTGCTCCTCCATTCAGACAGAAAATGTACCCAGACTATGATCTAAAGTCATCCCTGTCTGTTTGGAAACTCGCATCCGTATAACCTTTGACAACCAACTCATCTTCGCCACCATAAACTAGAAACATTCCTTTCGTTCTTCTCAAGTACTTAAGGATGTTCTTGGCAATTGTCCAGTGTGCATCACCTGGATTTGCCTGAAACCTGCTACACATACTTAGAGCAAATGCAACATCCGGCCTCATACAAATCATGGCATACATTATCGATCCTATTGCAGAAGCATAAGGAGTGATAGCCATACGTCTCATCTCATCCGGCATAACCGGACATTGAGATTTACTGAGCGTAATGCCATGAGACATGGGGAGAAATCCTCTCTTGGAGTTTTTCATCTCAAACCTGTCAAGAACCTTATCAATATAAGTCTCTTGACTTAGTCCAATCATCCTTCGAGACCTGTCTCGGTGGATCTTGATTCCCAAAATGTACTCGGCGTTACCCAAGTCGTTCATGGAAAAACAACTCTTCAACCATTCCTTGACTGACTCAAGCATTGGTATGTCATTTCCCATGAGTAGTATGTCATCTACATACAAGACTAGGAAAACTATGTTGCTCCCACTAGACTTCTTGTATACACAAGGTTCCTCTTCACTTTTGAGAAAATCAAACTGTTTGATTGCTTCATCAAAACGAAGATTCCAACTCCTAGATGCTTACTTCAATCCATAAATGGATTTCTGAAGTTTGCATACCTTACTAGGATTTTTTTGGATCTTCAAAACCCTCAGGCTGTGTCATGTACACTTCCTCCGTCAAGAACCCATTTAAGAAGGCGGTTTTGACATCCATCTGCCAAACTTTGTAATCGAAAAATGCAGCAATCGCTAGAAGAATCCGAATGGACTTAAGCATGGCTACTGGGGAAAAGGTTTCATCATAGTCAATACCATGAATCTGTCTGTATCCTTTCGCAACCAGTCTTGCTTTATGGATGTAGGCATTTCCATCCTTGTCTGTTTTAATTTGTAAACCCATTTGCAACCAATAGGTTTTACCCCATCAGGCAAGTCAACTAGGGTCCACACTTCATTTTTAGACATTGATTCCATTTCGGACTTCATGGCCTCAAGCCATTTATCTGAGTTGGGGCTCGCCAAAGCTTGCTTGTAGGTTGTAGGTTCTTCATTCTCCAATAAGAAGATTTCAGAATCCTTAGTTATCAGAACTTCAACAAATTGTTTGTTTCTGATTCTGGCAGACCTACGTGGGGTAGGAGCAACAATAAAAATATTCTCTCCAACTCCTTGAAGATTTTCCCATGAACTAGGTTCAAGTGGGACGATAGGAGTCTCGCTAGTCGAATTAGCTCGCTCCAACGCATGATTAATCGACTCATGCTCCCTCGCCTCTAATGTGGTGTTATCCACATCCATTTGTTGCTTGTCTTGAATTTCTTCGAGAACCACTTTACTCCCACTTGGCTTTTAGACAGGAATTCCTTTTCTAGAAAGACACCATCGCGAGCAACAAACACTTTGTTATCTTCGCGATTATAGAAGTAATACCCTTTTGTTTCTTTTGGATAGCCCACAAAGAAACACTTGTCTGACTTAAGTTGCAGTTTATCACCTTGTAAACGTTTTACATAGGCTTCACATCCCCAAATCTTGAGAAAAAGACAACTTTGGAGCTCTTCCATTCCATATCTCATATGGAGTCTTTTCAACTGCTTTGGACGGGCTTCTGTTTAGTATTCTAGCAGCTGCTTCTAATGCATATCCCCAAAATGATATGTGAAGATCAGTAAAGCTCATCATGGACCTCACCATATCAAGTAAAGTTCTGTTCCTCCTTTCTGACACACCATTCAACTGTGGCGTTCCTGGAGGAGTTAACTGTGAAATTATTCCACAATTAATCAGATGTTCATCAAATTCTTGGGTTAAATATTCACCACCACGATCTGATCATAATGCTTTAATCGTCTTCCCAAGTTGGTTTTGCACCTCATCTGGAATTCTTTGAACTTTCAAAGGATTCCGATTTGTTCTTCATTAAGTAGACATAACCATATCTACTTAAATCATCAGTAAAAGTAATGAAGTTGTTAAACCCACCCCTTGCTTTCGAACTCATTGGTCCACACACATCCGTATGTATGAGTCCCAAAAGGTCACTAGCTTTTTCACCTATACCCGTGAAGGGTGACTTAGTCATTTTCCCAAGCAAGCATGACTCACAATTTTCAAATGATTCTTAATCAAATGAAGAAAGAAGTCCATCCTTGTGTAATTTCTAGATGCGCTTTTGGTTGATGTGACCAAGCCTACAATGCCATAGGTAAGTTGGGTTTGAACCATCTGTTTTCTGCCTTTTATGATCAATATTGTAGACGTGGGTTGTATATTCTAATACATACAAACCATTAATTAATTTGGCGTTAGCATATAACATACTTTCTTTCGAAATAAAACAACACTTGTCTCTTATTTCAAATGAAAATCCTTCAGAATCTAAAACAGGAACTGAAAAAATGTTTTTAGTTATTGTTGGTACATAATAACAGTTATTAAGCACCAAAATAAGTCCAGAGGGAAGTCTTAAGTGATAGTTTCCAATAGCAAGTGCAGCAACGTTTTCTCCATTTCCTACTCGAAGCGTTACTTCCCCTTTTGCTAACTTCTTACTTTCTTTCAAGCCCTGTACGTTATTAACGATATGAGCACCACATCCGGTATCAAATACCCAAGTGGAAGATGAAGTAAGATTAATTTCTACAACGAAAACATCAAGTAACTCTTTACCTTCTATTTTCACTGGTGTATAGTGGGGACACCCTGGTGTATGGCATGGCCAACTACCGCAAAAGAAGCATTCTCTTCCTCTCCTCTTCAGGAACTCCTCAACATGGTTAAGCAATAGATTGATCAATGTCACCGAAGATCCCTCATCATTATGAGTGAGCTTGACAATGTCAAAGCCATCATGGAGTGAGAACAAGATAATATCATGAGCAGAGTCATCATCGATCGGTTTCCCAAGGACATCCATCTGATTGAACATTTCAATCAGTTCCCTGACATGGGCCCTTATTGACTGACCAGGCAAGAGTCTTTTAGCCATTATCTTACAATGAACATTGTATGACTCATACCAGACACTGTCAGTCCAGGAATAGTAAATCTGAGGGATCGAGTTAACGACCTCTCTTACATTTTGATCATTTATGCCTCCACTTCCTAATGCTCCAATGCCACCTCAACAGATAGCACGAAGACATTTGTACAAGATGGTTAGCTCATAGTGCCTGAATCTTCTTTTCCAACAAGTTGGAATAGATTCTAAAATGAGCTCTCTGATTTTCTCTGCAGCTGAAGCAATTTCAGCATGCCTTTCAGCTCCATACTTTTCTGTGTATTTGCTCTCAACAGGAATGTATAAACGAGATTCAAGCCCTTGGCTTGTGAGAACATTTGTCAACTCCTTTTCCCATTCCCTGAAGTTTCTGAGATTCAGCCTTAAGTTAAGTTTCATTGGTAAAATTATGTTGTCGTATAAGTTATTCATCTACAAACAAAAACAAACGAGGCAAGGTTCAATAATTATGTTTAATAAACTTTTAAAGTACCATAAGCGATTATAAAGCTGGTAACTTTAAAACATTCATTCAATCTTTAATTGATCCCTATTGAATAGAATGATTCCAAGATCCTTTATTTGTGCAATAATTGACCGGACTGAGGCCCTACCATCAAATATTGCATTTTCAAGGTGAGTAAACTCTTTACTGATTACAACTTTTTGTAATTCTTGGTTGAATAATTACCCATCACATGTTTAATTATTACCCTTAACTTCAAGGTTCTAAACTCTTTAGGTAACCTTATTGAGTATAACCAATTAAAAGTGTAAAACGTGATTTACCCCCACTCCCCTAAGATATAGTATGACACCCAGCTGAGACATGACCTGCCATAAATATCGAAGGCTTCATCGGGTTTTTAATTGGAAAAGCAACCTCAATATTACTGGGACCTAGATTCATTATGTTGTGATTATTTAGTGAACTCTAGCGCATCATCAAACAACATAAATAAAATCTAACATGCATAATATACTAATGCATAAATAAAACATGACACAGTATGGCCCCTTATTCCTAAGAAAACTAATAAAGCAAAAGCTCCCACTGGAACCTTCATGGATCTCATCCATCTTGCTCCTTTGGGCCTCCAATCCATGGATTCTTGGATTAACTGCAACCTGTAATACTATTCTATTCTATCTACTACTTCAATAAAATAAAATAAATTACAAAAATACTTAACGGTATGTAGACCATATTTAGATTACAAAAATACGAAACGATGCGCAGATCGTATTTAGAATCTATGGGCCATACTATTCTATATAGCAATATATAACATCATATATTATAGAATGCCATATAATAAATCACTCATCATGCTTTCCTAAACTACAACATCGAATGTTCACAATAAAGGAAACATGGCTCCTAAATATCTCATATTTAATTAATTACTGTAATTAGATAATATCATATATTATTCATGACCAATTATAAAATATCATATATTCTAATTTAGGTATGAGATAGAATCAAATCTTATTTTAATTATGGAAGATAAATCATATTTATTTTCCATGATTATCCTAACTTTAAAGAGATTCTATCCTAATTACTTGTCAATCACATATTTTAAATCAATTAATATCCTAAAATAATTATGGGATAATCACATTATTTAATCAATTATTATCCAAATAGAATCTTTTGCTCCATAATTATCCTATCTTAACAAAATTAACAACTTTAACTTTGTTAATTATCTTTTCAAAATCAAAACTTATCTTTTAATTTTTAATATTGAAAACTGATAGATTTTATTCAAAATAAAATAACAAAAAAAATTTTTTTTAAAAAAAAAGCCGCGTCAGCCACCATGGTATGGCCAGCCGAAGCCGGCCACGGTGGCCGTACACCTTGCGGTGTACGCTGCCCCTGCAGCAACGCGTGGACAGCAGCAGCAGCACACACATCGGGGTGGTGCGCTGCTACGCTGCCCCCTGTCCGAACCGTGCCCAACCCACCCTCCCTCCTGGACCACCACCAGTGCGGCAGTCGCCGTGGCTGCGCCACCCAGCCGCGGCTGCCGTACCTCAATCCCTTTTTTTATTGATTTTTTTTTAATTTAAAAACAAAACATTTTTTATTAAAATTAAAGTTAATGTGGTCCATCTAATTTTAAAATTAAATCATATTCAATTTTAAAATTAGGGTTCTTCATGAATTTAATCCCAATTCAATTTAACTTTTAATTAAATAGGTTGATCATGAAAATTTCATAATTTATCATGAAATCAATTAGATTAAATTCTTTAAACATAAAACTTTCGAATTAAATCAAAATCAAAAACACAAATTTCATAAATTGTGGTTAATGATTTCGAAATTTTCGAAATATTAAGGGGGGGGTTCGAATTTTTCGAATATTATAGGGAAATTTTAGGATCAATTTAAGGCTAATATGGAGCAAATTAAACAACTTTAATGATTCTATATTGTTAAATCACATTTAATATAATAATTGACCCATAATTAAATTATTCTCCCTTCTAATTGAATTAAAATTGTGGATTATCAAAGGTTTAATACTCAATATATGTAATTGCAAGAGGCTAACTGATACCACTGTTGGGAAATATAGGTACTACGCAGCGGAAATAATCATGAATCATATTCATAAAGCACCTAACCAAGGATCTCATGCATAACACATAAAGAGTAAGAATAATACCTTTGAAGCGTGATTCCACTAGCAATCAAGCAAGAATAAGGGAGACAAAGAACCTCAAATGTGATTCCTCTACTTGGTCCACAAGCACAGTTTAAGACCTCCACTAATGCTAGTTAGTCGCGATCGAACTCTTCAATCGACCTTCTACGGAGAAGTATGAGCAACAAACTAGTCACGAACCACCGCGAGCACCACCAAGGGTGGACGGGCGCAAGTCCAATGGGGGGGAGAGGGGTGCCGTGAGAGAGAGAGGGAGATGAGGGTTTTGGGATTTGGATGCCTTGATTCACAATTCATTGTAAGTTAATTGTGACTCCTGTATTTTTGCAACCCTAGGCATGGATCTGATTTATAGATCATATCCATAAATAAGAGTCCATGACCAAGCCCAATTCCTAATCCCAATCAAACTACACTAGCCCAATCCTATTCATGATCAGTTAAATACTCAAAAGGCCCAATAATGGGCCTCTTACTTGCTTAACCCAATATCTTTGCGTGTGACCTCATAGGATCCATTCTAGCGGGCTTTGGACTATTTTACTAGCCCAAAGATCATCTCTTATAGTCTAGCAACAGATGATGACGCCCCAAGAGAATGAACTTATAATCTC